AGGGGAGGAGAGGTAGAGGAGAGGAGGAGGAGAGGAGAACAGCAGCAGCAGCCACAGCATCAGGAGTTGGTAAGAGGTCTCCCGCCACCCACGTCACTGTGAGGGGAAGGAGGTGGACAGGCGCCGAGAGAACAGACTCGGAGACAAAACTGGGCTCCTGACCACACCCCGGTCAAGACAGAACGACCACAATTACGTCTGAGCAGGAGTTTTATTTATGGACAGGTTTTTTGTTACTGTTTGTTTTTTCCTTCACGATGAAAATGCATACGGCCAGAATCATTTCTGTGTTCTCTGTTATCGTAACCCATATTCCATCATTCAGATTTCAACTATCTCAAGTTTATTACGAGTAAAAGGAAATTATAATGACCATATCTTTAATTACAAATTGTATGAAATAAAGGCCATCACACAATCTCTTTCAGAAAGTTCTACGTTTAGTGTAATGAAATGTAGTCATGTTCAGTGATCACATATTGTTATGCTTTGACTGACATTAAAAGAAAGAAGAGACATTACGCAATTGACTCCTGTATGGTTGAGCTACATGCAAGTAACTAGCCTCATGTAATGTATATAATTATTTATAATAAACATCCCTAAATATGCATATTGGATACTTACAACACGGTTGTGTTTATGCGAAGAATAATTTGAGGTGAGATGTAAACAAAGCGAGAAATCAGTGGCATAGGACTTTTCTGTATGAAAAACAGACAGTTTATTGCTAGGGTATCAAAGACTAAAATTAAAACGTTGGCTTTTGAGTCAGGTCCACAATCACAACATGTATATTCAGCCTTCGTATAAAATAAAGATCTCCTTGGTCTCAGTAAACATGTTTCTGATTCTAATTGGTAAAGAAAGGCTTCATCTTGATGTAACTTCGATGGTGTTCGGTCTGATGGACCCGTTTATTATTCTTCTAAGAAATCGATAATTTATATTTCTCTAACCACTCAACGGAACCTTGGCTCTGCATTGTCTCCCTTGAAAAAAGGAGTTAATGATATTCAATGGGATTTCACCTGGATAAATAAAGGATTTGGAATTGAATTTTCTGTGAAGAACAGAATAAACAACATTTTCAGTGACCACCCACTGTGCCCCCGCCCCCCTAACAATTTATTACATACAGGGTTCGGGCACCAGACCCACAAACACTGGCTGAATAACAGCAATATGAACACACCACACAAGATTACAGGTCAGAACTTAAATATGTCAAAATACGGATCGTTTCCACAATCCAGGAAAATGTCACTCACTCCCAGGCTTTCTTGGCAGTGTGCCCTTCAGACGTAAAAAGGTGATCGTCTCGACCTCACTTTGATGAGGGTCAGAGTGTCTTGCCCGTACCTGGTGAAAGCAAAGTAAAAGGAGCGATGGATTCTAGTTCTACAACAAGCCCAAACCAATGATGGTGCCTGAATGATAAACAAAGTTCTGGTTGATTTAACACTCTAGCTTACAAAAAAATTAACGTTTGCACTTTTAAACATCATGGCATGCTGTAGCAGGATTGGGTGTAGTTAAAATGTGGATAAAAACATAAAGAATATCAGGTGAAATGTCAATAAGGAATGCGGTTAGAGGGCTCTACAGTAATTGCATACAGATGGGCGGAGTTGGATCGCGCATTTCACTTCTTAAATAACTAATGCAACGTATCATTATCAACACTTACATTTGTGCATTGCTCCCGCCATGGTTTTGAAATGATTCCAGCGGTGTGTCACGCCTATTTTATACCCAACATTCCTGGAAATGCATCCGCGAAGGAGCCGCGAAGGACCGTGGAGGACCCATCAGTGTCTCCTCGGTTAGAGCTCCTCCAGAGAGCCTCCTCTCTCCTCTCTCCTCTCTCCTCTCTCCTCGGTTAGAGCTCCTCCAGAGAGCCTCCTCTCTCCTCTCTCCTCGGTTAGCGCACCTCCAGAGAGACTCCTCGACGCTCGATCCTTGGTCCTCGAAGTGCATTTAGAGAAATTAGATGTCCTTCAACATGGCGCGCTGAAATTCATTTCCGGGTCACTACCGGAGGACAGAGGAGTCGAGGAGTCGAGGAGGGGGATTTGATGAAATGAGAAAGGGCCCGGGTCTGTGGTCTTAGCAACTAGCTTCGTCCCAGCATGTTGTTTCTGCAGATGTTTCAACAGATTTGAATTGCTGTTTTGGGCAGGGCAACGCGACCAACAACCAATCACATGAATCTCCCGCCCCGACATACAAAGCAAAATGCTAGCATTCCATGCTAGCTATATATCCTGTCTATGCCTGCTAGCTGTCCATTCAATGTTTAAACGAGGTACACTGGATATAAACTCCCCAAACAGCGAAAACCACCAGCTTCACCCACTATCTCTGCCCCTCCCTCATGCCTGGCTCCTCCGGTTTGTTCCCGGCGGGTATCCTCGCGTACCGGTTTGATTGGCTAGCAGTTGTACTGGCAGATTTTCATAAACGGGTTTGATTGGCGCTTGACCACCACCACAGAACTCTTGATGGCCATCATAATCTGAGATGTCCTCTCAAGAACAGTGGGTGGTGTGGTCAGTCCTCCCAAGGCTCAGCCAGATGCACACACACACACATCCATGAGACCACCGCAGGCTGTGAGACATGTCAATACTCTGAGAGAAACCCAACTAAACGCAGCATAAGCCAAGAATAAGAGGGGGGTCCTGCCCAAACACGCCACCAACATCATGCGCTCCTGGCTCTTTCAGCATCTCATGGTGAGGCCAGGTGTGTGTGGTGTGTGTGGTGTGCGTGTGCGTGTGCGTGGGTGGGTGTGTGGTTTTCAGTGTTTGTAGTACATGAGCCAAGAATGACATTCATTGAAACCTTGTTGAGTTTGTTGCTACTATTTATGCTTGATTTCTGATCATTGTAGATTTAAGGATATAGTCAATTATTACTGTTAATTATTCAACTCAGACAGTACGGCACACTAACATTTACTAATAAAGAAAACAGAACAAACACATACAATGTTTTTAATGTAACCTGAGTGTTCGAAATATCCTTTTAGCTCTAGCATTATAGATAGGATCTTTGACCCGCCAAGACACAACTTACATTTAACTAAAACGTTATTTTCTTTGTGCTTGACAAAAGTGAAATAGTGAGACTGTGTCTCTCTGTGTGCGGGGGGCGGGGCCTAACAGACATGCTGCAGCGAACACAAACCTACAGACTGGAGGTTGGGAGATCA